TTCCTCAAGAGGATAAACTGTGTACTATCAAGCCTGCTCAGTTAATGAGGGGGCGGTTCCAGAGAGCCAGACCCAATTTGGGGAGGTTGAATGGCAAGAAGAAAGACCCTGTGTCTGAAAATGTTAGTCCTCCAGTTGAAGAAGAAAAAGAAAAATCAGAGACTGAAACTCTCATGAAAGGTGCTCATCATCCACTTTCAAAGGTTAGCTGCTTACCCGTTTTGTCTTGCTCTATGTATAGGACTTTACATACTCAGAAAAGATGCTTCAGGGCATTGTGGAAATGCCAGAGGCTGCACTTGTATAGTTCTGAAACGAAGCATTGGCTGTGTTACAAGAATAACTGGATTAGTTGGGTAAAAAACAGATTTTGTCCAAGATTGCATAGACAAAAATAGAGGGAACTGCTTTTCTCCTTTTTTGACTATAAAAGCCAATAATTAATGAAATAACTTCTTGCTTTATTAATATGAATACTAACTTAAGGCATTACGTTCAGTAAAGAATCAGTGGAATGAATATTGTAGATAGTCCTGAAAAACAAATTATCACTTAGCTGTCAAAGAGAAGAATGTTACAACTGCAGGAATGTTAATAGGGCTATATTGATGAAGATTGCTGAAATAACTTCTTGTTTTATTAATATGATACTAACTTAAGGCATTACGTTAGGTAAAGAATCAATGGAATGAATATTGTAGATGGTCCTGAAAAACAAATTATCATTTAGCTGTCAAAGAGAAGAATGTTACAACTGCAGGAATGTTAATGGGGCTATATTGATGAAGATTGGCCTGATCTGGATAGCCCAGGCTAGGCCAATCTCAGAAGTAAAGCAGGGTCAGCCCTGGTCAGTATTTGGAAGGGAGATCACCAGGGAATATCAGGGTCATGACGTAGAGGCAGGCAATAGCAGACCACCTCTGAATGTCTCTTTGTCTTGAAAACCCCACAGGGTCGCCATAAGTCAGTTGTGACTTGATGGCAAGTTTTTTAAAAAACGTTATCTTCCAGCCTCTATGTAACATTATTCAATTTGGCTTCCATTGACTCTGTAGTTAGAGAGAGAAACTCGCCTTTCACTCGTGGACCCAACCTAAGTCTAGAGATTTTTCTGCATAGTCTTTTGTACATAGTCTCTTGTGTATTGAAATCATTGCAAGTTATGTTTTTTAAGATTGTATACAAAATTAGGTTACTATTTCAGTGAGATGACAAATTGGTTTTTGGCCCATGAAAACATTATGACAAAACAAATTTGTTATTTCTATAATTTATTCTAAAATTTTCATCCTCCTCCTCCTCCTCCTCCTCCTCCTCCTCTTCTTCTTCCCTAACTCTGCGGGTTTGTGTGTATATAGTCTTTCGTTCCATATTCTGTTAAGCAAATGGACTTATCTTGGTTCTGAACTTCTAGGGTGAAGCTGATGTCGGTATTTCCTTGAGTGGTTTGGAGGAAAAAGTCCAGTCAGAATCTAGTGAAGCCATCTTGCCAGAAAGATGTATTGATCAGAAAAAAGTTTCTTCTCCTGAAAAGTCACAAAGCTGTGAATTTTTAAAAGACCAAGTAGAAACATCTGTGTCTAAAGATGTTGGGGAAAAACAACTAGATACTGTTGCAAGGTAAAGTAATTTTCAGCCTGTGATTTGTCTGACTGAGTTTTTGATGACCCTTCCTGGCAACATCCTCCTCACCCGCCACCTATATGTTGTGATTGTGACTTCTGTTTCAATGTGTCTGAAGAAGAATGTGTGCACATGAAAGCTTATATCCAGAATAAAACTTTGTTGGTCTTAAAGGTGCCACTGGATTCAAACTCTGTTCTGCTGCTTCAGACCAACACGGCTACCGACCTGAATCGCTGTTGTCTGTGTATCAAGGATAGCCAAAATGATCTTGGAATCCCCCATACAACTGACAATAATGGTGCCTGTAAAAAAAAGAGAGACTAACTTCTTGTGTCATACTTGTTTGGTTTTTCTCAGACTACCTGGGTTGTGTTTAAGCCTTAATTCATTCAAAACAATTTGTTCGTTTGAAGCCTATGTTTAATCTAATACAAGTAGCTAAAGATATATTAGTAAAGATGTGTTTCAGGGGTATCAGTAGACTGATAGGATCTCAGTTTGTTTTTGTTTTATTTTGGACTTAGTGCTGCTTCCACCCCTCAAGAACTAAGTCCATCAAAAAGTATAAAGCCTACCTTCCTCATGAGGGGTCATCTTCAAAGGCCAAAGCCAAACCTATCCAGAGCAGCTAAAAAGAAAGACGTTTCTTCAGAAGGAGAGAGAAGTACAGAAGACAAAGCTGGAAAAGGTACAGAAGACAAATCAGGAAAAATATCCTCATTAATGGTAAGTATTGATTATTAATCTTAATTCATCTGTTGATTAGTGAGTGTGCCACTTTGCCACAAACATGCTTGTTTTTGAACTAGACTCTGCCATCAGACTGTCTGTAGCAGTTTATGAGCGAACATTCTCAAAGTATTCTGCTTAAGGTGTTAACTGAAGCCTTCTTTGGGCAGAAGATCTGCTTGTTTTAATGGCACCTAACCCTTTGTATTATTCTTTCTCCATTTCTTCTTTCACGTTCTTCCTGGTTAGGAGCTGTTTACTTTTCTCTGTCATCTAGATGTTGTCTGCTTTTGATTTTCCAAATATCTGTCCTACTTGATTATTATAGATAGGCATGTACTGCAGATGTGCACCAGCTAGCATAAGTTGGCTCAGTTTCTGTGGTAGTTACATACACAAAATGACATTCTGTTCTACATGTGGTTCTTAGTCTGTTTTTCTATAAAGCTGGCTGGGTGGGGAGGAAGGGTAGGTGGGTCTCAAATGGTTTTCTTCGCAGAAGCAGTTAATTTGGAAGATTGCTGTCTTGTTTTTGTTAGCATGATTCTGGAAAACAGGTGGAGACTGCATCATCTTCTGAATCTTGGAGACAAGAGAATTGTGCAGATGACATTAAAATGGAGGATTCCAAAAGAAGCAAACACTCTGAAATATGTGATTCTTCAGAGCAGTCCCTGGGAGGTGAAAGTGAAATAAGAAAAAAAATCTCTAACTCCATTTCTGTCCAGAAGAGAGCCTCTGAAACACTGAACAGGTATCTTAAATTCATGGCCTTAATAAAAAGATAGGTTTTAGAGTTTCATCCTTAAAATGGGAGATCTAGCCACATATCCTGATTGTTCCTTGACTTTTCCCCCTCTCTTATAAATTTCTTCTTTACCAAAACAATCTTGGTTTATACCCAGAAAACTGCCAGAAAGGACACTGAAGCCGAGGAAACCTATCTGTGACATGAGGCCAACGTATTGCGCTTCTGAATGTGAGACTGATCATAGTGAAAAGGGAAGACGCCTCCAAAAGGTTAAACCAAATGTCAGCAGAGGTAGACGCTTAAAACCAGCCCTTGGCAAGAAACCTAGAAAAGAATATGGAAGTTCGAAGGTTAATCTGGTGACTCTTAGGGCCTCTTCTCAAGAAGAAGAAGAAGATGATGATGATGATGTGGATGACTTTGAGCCATATTATGAAGCTGAATGTTTTTTGCCTGAGGAAGTAAACAAAGCTCCAGTGTTTGTTCCGAAAGGGCTTCGGTCTCCAAATCCAGTTTCTGTTCAGATCGAAGAAACGATGGAAGAGGTATACCTGTCAAGAGATGGTTGTAGGCATAGTGAGGCATATGCCATTTGAGTGTGAGAATGTGGTTATAGTTACAAATAGCTGTTCAGAGTCTTGCAAGCATTTTTCAGCAGACTTCAAATGTGAAAGACCAGAGAGAAACTTTGCTTTCTATAAATTGACAAGTTGCTACATTATGAGAAAGCTGGTCTAGATATAAAATGAGCTGATCCCCCCCCACCCCATTCTTCTTTGTGTGCTGCATTGTTGGCAGTTCATAAGGGTCTTTGACTTGCTCATAAGGGTCCTTTTCCAATAGTTCACCTGATGTGACCACACAAGCATATGCATAGTTAAACACCAGCCATTTAAACTTCAATTCTGAAACATAAATAATCCCAATTGCTTCCATTTCATATTGGAAATGCTATCCTTAGCATGCTTACTAGTAAGAAGTAAACAAGTTTAGGATCAAGCAGAATATTGAAAATTGCACAATAATTGGCCTTTCTGAAAATAGAATGAGGCATTACTTCAGAAATAAAAAATATCTTTAAGGCACTTAAAGTAATTACAATACATATGAGAATCTGTTAGATCACTTTTGCAGGGAGGAGATTTTTGGTAGAGAGTGTGGTGTTATTAGCACCGCTTAATTAAAATGATTTTTGTGTCCCCCCTTCCCAGCTCGAGATATATGAGAATATCACAGGGGAGGGCTGTGTTGCTATTGCTGAATGTCTGTCCCATGAAAAGAATATAGGTGCTAAATCTGTTATACAGAGAGATACAGAATTGCACTCCTCACAATTAGTAAGTGCTATTTATTTACTTATTTAACATTTATTTTCTCTATTATATGTGGATGTGCTTGGGTCATAGGAGTTGTGCATTATTAGAAGGATGAGGAGTAGGGATGAGCTCGAAGTGATATTCAGGGAAGGTGCCTTCCCTGAACATTTCCCAGACTTGTGGCTGGTTTATTTAGGTTTTTCAGGGCCAGCCATTTAAACATGACAGCTGAGCAGCGCAAGGTCTGCCAGTCAGCTGTTAAGTTTTAAAGTTAACCTTTTGGTTTTGCTTCTCCACCCTTCAAAGGCCATTTAAAGGCCAGCCATTTAAACCTAACAGCTGGTCAATTGTTAGGTTTTAATGGCTGTGAGTCTTTAAACCCCTTGGTTTTGTTGCCCCCCTTCGCAGGGGAGGTGAAACCAATGGGATAAATGGCTGCAAGCCATTTAAACCTAGCAGCTGACCGACAGACCTAGTTGACTGTTAGGTTTAAATGGCTGGGAGCCATTAAACCCTTCAGTTTCACTACCCCCTTCAAAGTGGGGGGAAGTGATACTGATGGGTTAAAATGGCTGCCAGCCATTTAAACCTAGCAGCGGGCCTATGAGCCCAGTCAGCTATTAGGTTTAAATGGCTGCCAGCCATTAAACTCCTCGATTTCACTCCCCCATTTGATGTGGGGATAAGTGATACCGACGGGTTAAATGGCTGCCAGCCATTTAACCTAATGGTTGGCTGACAGACCTGGTCAACTGCTGGCAGCCATTTATCCCCTTGGTTGCGCGCGCCCTTCAAAGTGGTGGGAAGCAAAACCTAACAGCTGGCTGGCAGACCCGGACAGCTGTTAGGTTTAAATGGCTATGAGCCATTAAACTCCTTGGTTCCCCCCCCTTTGACGTGGGGGGCAGCAATACCAACAAGTTAAATGGCTGGCCAGTGGATCCGCTCGTTAGGTTTAAATGGCTTGGAGCCATTAAACCTCCTGGTTTTGCTCCCCCCCCCTTCCTGGGCATTCCTCCCCCATTTCTCCCTGCCAGGGAGGTCCCTGCCCCTTTTCTCCCGGTGGCAGCTTGCCACAGCCAGGAGAACCAGGGAACCAAACTTACAGGCCCGGCTCAGTTCAGGTGGGGCTCTTTTGGGTCAGTTTGGTTTAGGATTAGGACCGAACAACTTTTTGTGGGTTCATGCCCATCCCTAGTGAGGTGCATGGATTTGGTTTTTAGAATAGGGGCTTCTTCACAAAGCAACCAGGGGATTCACCAGAAGAAACCAAGTGGCTTCTTAATTACAAAGTTGCTTCAGTGTAATTTCGACCCACCAATAATATAAACAGTGTTTTGACAAAGCGGAAAGAAGAAGAAGAGGAAGAGAAGATGAGATTGGATTTATACCCCGCCTTTCATTACCCAAAGGAGTCTCAGAGTGGCTTACGAACTCCTTACCCTCCCCACAACAGACACCCTATGAGGTAGGTGAGGCTGAGAGAGCTCTGACAGAAACTGCTCTTTTCCAAGAACAGCTCTTATCAGAGCTACAGCTTGCCCAAGGCCATCCAGCCAGGTGCAAGTGGAGGAGTGGGGAATCAAACCCGGTTCTCCCAGATTAGAGTCCGCGCACTTAACCACTACACCAAACTGGCGGTATTATGCTTTGTGGTAGCCAAGGAGTGAAATTGGAGTTGGAGGCATTCATGTTATGTTCCAGCAGGTCTGAAAAACCTATGCATCGTAAGGGAGTGAGATTGTGCATGCCTATTTCCCATGCTGTATAGCACGTTGGAATAGGCATCCACAACATCATTGTTCTCTGACTATCGGGACTTACTGGAAGACTGAGTTATCGTCACTTCTCAGTCAAGAGCTGTCCCCTTAAAATGAGTGCATGGGGAACTAATTCAAATATACAGGGAGATAAATAATTTAGAATGGCAGGCAGCACTGTCAGCTGTCTGGCAGTGTTTTTAAAAAAGCTGAAAAACATCCCAAAAATATTCACTTCAGATCTTGCACTAGAGACTACTTGTGGTGTGCTGGACTAATCTAACTTGAGTAGAAGAATTATGTAGTAAAATTATTTTATCCCTACTTTTTTGAAGGTATCTGAAGAAGTGTGCATGCACATAAAAGCTTATATCTAGAATAAAACTTTGTTGGTCTTAAAGGTACCACTGGACTCAGACTTTGTTCTATATGAAGTTGAGTTTGTTTTCTGTTATACTTCTGATTTTGGTTTCTAGATGGCTTTGCATCATAATTTCTTTTTTTTAAGCATAATGCTCCAATGTATCTGAAGTAGAAATTTTAAATTTTCTCCACCAAGATGGGAAATCTTACAGATTGCTTGAACAGAGGCTTGTTAACATTAGTGAGGCAAATTTAATAAAATATGGGGATGAAATAATTAAATCAATTTTTGTCCTTAAGTAAATGCCCCAAAACACATTTCTTAATTATTGGTTTTGTGACTTCTCCTGTTTGTTTTAGTGTTAAGACCCTATTTTGAAGTAGAATCAAGATGTTTATTGTTTATGGAGACTTCTTTTAATTGTCAGCAGTGCTAAGCTACAACCTAATTTGTCTGGAGATAAAATTCATTAATGTTCATCTCTTTTTGCCTCCTACAAGGTGATTATACAAGAGAGGTCAGAAGAGAAAAAAGGTAAATGTCTGAGACTAGCCCACTAAGTTGAAAATGAATATCTGAGAGTGTGGCTTGCCCTGTTAATTTTGGTTTAAGTAAATATTGTTTTTAAGAAGAGATGTCATTCACTAAAATAAATAACAAAAAGGATGAAAGATGCTTAATTATGCAAACATTAACAATTTCATGTAATATTAAGGATGATCTGTGAATTTCTTTTTTTCTGAATTAGCAAAAGTGGTCTTGTTTGGTATATTAGAAATTACTAGGGTGAAGAATAGTGTTTGACTTTATTTTTGCTTTGCTTTTTCTTGTAAACATACATATGTTTTCAGGGGTGAATGATGGTAGCACTGAAGCAGCCATGACTCTACTTGCTATGAGAGATCCGGCGTTCCAATTGAACATCAGTACCCAAGGTATGATGTTTATTATTGGGTTTCTTAACTCTATTGTTCCTTTTAAACCATTACAGGCCATCATGATAAGTCACTGTATCTGGTTTTTTTTGTTACTTTCTGCAACTCTGGCATCTCTTCCCCATGTCCCTTTTTTCCCTTTCTTATCTGTTGTCATGATAGCAAAACTATGCAGACTCTGAGTCCATCAGAAGCAAATGCAAGTAGAGGAAAGGGAAGTAGAGTAAGAGAGAGTGAATCCAGGGTTGTAGTAGCATAGTAAAATAATAATGTTTTCGGACTAAATGGGGAGGAAGATGTGTCTCTAGTCTCAAACCTGATTGTATTAGTGTTGGCAGAAGACTCTTTTTACTTTTCCCTCCCTGTGCTGTTGTGCATGGATCCACACTTCATGCCCTCAATGAAAGTATCAGCGGGTGATTGGGGGCTGGGCCAGTTTCCTCTTCCCCTATTTTTTAATGCTCAATAGCCTCCTGATAAGGCCTTTTGGCAGCTCGTTTTTGGGGGCTTTTTTGCATATCCTGGTAGTTGCTGAGTACTGTGTACCAAACATTCTTATCTTGGCTGAGGGTGGGGGTCATCTTGCTGCTCTTCTAATAGGCACTTTGTTGATAGGCACTTGACCATCAACTCTGCTGTTAAAAGAAACATGTGGCTTGTTGGGGGAGGGAAGAAATAAACTGTTGTTCAGTTGAAATTTTAGGTTTTTTGAATGCCTCTGTTTGAAAAGGCATGCAAACATTATAATGATTCTAACCTTTTTTTTTTTTTGCAAAAAAGAAAACCTGCAGAAATTTCCTAATCAAGATGAACAGACTGTTGCTGATAGCTTCCTGAATGAGCATAATGAAGAACAAAGTATATTGGATAATAATATGTTGCTTTCTGCTCCTTCAAAACATGAATGGATTTCTTTCAACAATGCAAGCAGAACTTCTCCAGAGGATCACATTCACAATACTGGGCAATCGGGTTTGGAAGGCTACTTAACTGCAGCCACTCATGTGATAGTTTCCAGTCCTTCAGACGAGGAAACAGTTTCATCTCACAATGTGAACAAAGCTGCTCTTGTGGATCACAATGCATTTGGTTTGGAGGAACACTCTCAGGAAGCCAGTAGGGTCTGCAGGTTTGTATTAATCTCTGACGTTTGTTTATTATTTGACATTGCTGACATTAGTAAGGAATCCCACTGCCATTTTATGAACTACATGTGCCACAGTACACCATTGCTGTACAACTAACTTTCCTCCAGTCCTTCTCCATCCTTATTATGCTGTTTCCATCCCTTCTGTCTAAATGTAGGTGAGTTATCCTCCCAGCTCTCCTAAATGTCTTCTTTATTCCCATGGTTTGAGTTGCTCCCAAAGAACATGAGTATCTCCTGAATATATATGCACACGCATACATGACATGTACAGTACTACTTTACCCAAAGAATTGTTAGCATGTGGAATTCAATGCCACAGGAAGTGGTGGTGGCTACAACCATAGACAGCTTCAAGAGGGGAATTGGATAAACATATGAAGCTGAGGCTCGTGAGTGGCTATTAGCCACCAGGTATAGATGGAACACTATGTCTGGGATAGTGATGCTCTGCATTCTTAGTTCTTGGAGGGCACCAATGGGAGGCTTTTTGGAGTTCTGGCCCTGCTGGTGAACCTCCTGATGGCACCTGGGTTTTGGCCACTGTGTGACACACGAATGTTGGACTGGATTGGCCATTGGCCTGATCTAACGTCAGGCTTCTCTTATGTTCTTATGAGTATACAATGACAGTGCTGTGCTTTGGATCCTGAAACTTTAAGATTTGTAGGGCTTGCTCATGCATTGAAGTGAGAGACCCAGCAAACACGAATAGTCAGAAATAGTATTGCCCTGTAGGATGCACATAGTTCAGAGTGGACAAGGGCTGAAATACGTAACTCATCATAGCTTATGCCTGATGTAGGTACCCATATGTTTTAGCTGTACCTGGTAAAGACAAACCTACCAGATGCTATTTTGAAGCAGATGGTTAAGGCGGCCTATCAGGAATTTCTGTACCATCTTTGGTTGCAATATGAAGTTGCCTGCATGTGGTATTGAAACAGAAGATTATTTTTACTATTTTTATTTGTCTGGTGGGTGATATTTCCCTATGTCTTCTGTCTGTTTGCAGTGATGGTTCTTCATTACAAGGAAATAAAATATGCAAACCAGTAAGATGCAGGTTTCCTAAGCCTAAACCAAATCTTGGCAGAGGTCGAGGGGTAAACAGGAGTGCTTCTTCAAAAAGTTTGGGTGTAGGTGTGGAGCGATCTAATCAAACCCAGAATGGTAAGTCTCATTGTTAAAACAATTTCAGAAGCAAGAAGTAGGGAGCTTAATTTTAGTTTTCTAGTTTGAAAATATTCGAGTAATGTTTGAGACAGTCCTTTTATCTATCCCTGGCTGTGACCCGCAAAAAATGTTCAGCTAAATTTGCATGTGTGTATATCTCCAGATGGCGTTCTGGAGTGTTTCTCTTTATCCCTTACCATACCACATGGTAAGTGTGTAGCCTATTTCTGTTGAATCCTTGGAAATAAAAGGGCATCTTTAAAAAAATCAGATTGGGAAAGATGTATCCTTACCCAACTTAGCTCCCTATTTTCCCCAACCTGTTCCAGCCAATGTTTTCTTTTTGTGTGTCTTTTAAAAAAATTTAAGCACACAGCATTTCCAGCTGAATTCCCAATCATATATTTAATAACTCTGTGCAGTCCCTTGAAAATGCCATTCAGATATTAGCTTTTTTGGAATCACTTGATTAGTGCAGCTGAAGCATACAGTGGCAGTGGGGAGAATCTTTTACTGGGATGATAAAGGTGTTTTCTAGCTAGGGTACTAATACTTCTTTATGTCAACGGTGTATGATGAGAAATGACAACACTGTGTATTACTGCCAATTAGAGGAATAAGATTTAGTTATTTTGGAATAAAAAATGTGGAATATATTAAAAACCTGTTTCCAAGAACTGAGCATAATATGCAGTGCTGTTGTTATGCATATATAGTTGATCATTGAAGCAGTGAATTTCTGGTAGTAAAACTGTAAAAAGGTATTACAAATGATGTTGACGGATGCTTCTAAAATGACAGAGGAGAACATGCCACAATCTACTGCAGAAAATCACGAAGTTGAACTGGATCAAAATCTTGGAATAGATGCATTTGGTAAGAGAAGCTCTGCAGACAAGCATGATTTTCAGCTTGGAAGATCCAGCAGTGCTACACAGAAAAACAGCACTGAACGGTACACACACAACTTCTGTATTATGTGTTAATACATGCTAATACATTTGTATTCCTGTTAGGTGCTTTGAGATGATTTGCTTGTGTTTTATAAAACAGAGGCCTATGCATGATACATTTCATCAGAATAAATGGCAAATAGTCAGTTGTGCATGTACCTGCTTTGACTATATGCTTACAGCATGTCCATTTAGGTGTAAGTTTTACTGAGTTCAATAAGGCTTATTCCCTCAATTTTTATTTGTTAATCTGCTGCTTTCTCTCAGTAACTTTTTTATGTGTGAAAGTACTGAAATATCTTTCTGAAAAATACTTGGAGAGGATATCTTTTTTTTAAAAAAAGAGGCATTGTATTTCCCACTAACTTTAAGCTAGTTTTTTAAACTGTTTATATAGAATAATCATAGTCTTTGAACATTCCGTTTCAAACTATGTAGTTTATAAAATTAGACATGTTTATTTTTCAAAAGAGAGAACTTGGCAATAGAGGCTTCGCAAGTCACATCAGTGTTCAGTGATCAACCACCTTCTCCAAGAACAGAAATTTGGCCTTCTGAACTGCCAAATGACTCCAACACAAAAATAAATGTTGAACTCCCTGAACAAAGTTCTGATCCTGTTGAACACCATTTGTCTACAGAAGTAGCACAGGTAAGAGGTATTGTTGTTTCTATAGCTGCAATACTTACTTTATAGAAGTTGGGCTCCGCACAGTTAGTGGGAGTTCTTTGTTGCATGAAGGGGGTTGGATGAGGACTAGGGTGTCTGTGGCCGGTCTTCCCCTAGGTGCAGGGGTCATTTCCTGCAGGAGCGCACAGGAGCAGAGCTCCGGCAGTAAAGAGCCCAGGGGGCGGGCACATGCAACAAGCCCCACCCCCTGCTCCCAGCAGCCCTCAGTCAGAGCAAGAAGCAGCCAGGTAAGTTGCAGAGCCCCCCCAGTCCAAAACAGTCCAGTGGCACCTTTAAGACCAAGTTTTATTCAGGTACAAGCTCTCCCTCCTTTGCGAGGGCAGATCTGCACGTTCTCCTCCCCCCCAATAGCTAGCAATCCAAAACAGTCCAGTGGAGCCTGAGCGGTGGGTGTTGCCTTCTGACACACCTCCGGCGATGTCAGGGGGTGTGGCATATACAAATAAGTTATGCTAATGAGTTACACTAATGAGCTCCTGCACCTCTTTTTCTACGAAATGACCCCTGCCTGGGTGGCACCAACCTTGGACAGTCCGTGCTGGCTGGCTGGCAGGAGAACGGATCAGGCTGGGCAATCTGGGAGGAAGGCCTGCTTCCCCTAGTTCCAGTCTGACCCCATTTAAGGGGAAAGGGCCTCCAGCCTTCTTCTTGAAACTATTGCAGAAAAAAAGGTGAGGTCCTGATTTTAATTCTTCTGGAATTAAACATTTTATACTCTGTGTATTCTAGATATTTTAGGTCTTGTGACTGGCTACAATAATTGGGTATTCTTGTTTGTGTTCTCCAAGAAAGACCCCCCCCACACACACACACAAACAGTTTCAAACCCCCACCCCCACCCGGAAGAAAGGGAGGTGGCTTCTGGATGATTTTTATTGTTTAATACAAACTAGGAACACATTTGAACATTACTGTGAATTTGGATATCGGATAAAACTTTCCCTTTTATTTACCTTCTTCATTGAAAATGCATGTCAAACTGTTCTTCTTGCAGGCAATTAGACTAACTTTTTTTGCAAGTCACTAATGAACAGAAGCCCCATAAAGAGAAATGTCATGTGTGAAGCAGCCCTAGGCTCTGTGATTTTTTGATAAACACTGCAATAATTGGAAGTTGAAGAAATGAATGTTCTTTGAACTACTGAGTAATCTTTTCTGTGAGTCATCTGCAGTAAAGATTGAGCTAGAGGCTAAAGTTTGTTCTCAAAATGTTATAGGCTAAATAAGGAGCACTCTAGACAAAACCCAAGATTTCTTTTTTGGCTAATGTTACATAACTGTTACCATTTAGAGATGCTTTCTCTTGGGTCATAATTTTTACTGGCTCATATCCTTTTTTTGCTTTAGTGTTTGTTCGGGGAGTGGAGGGATTGGAAGAAGCAGTATTTTATATAGACTCTGAGAGCTCTTTGCCTGGCTAAATACACAGTTTGTTAAAAGTAATTATCACAAATTTTTCATTGTTTTATCTCATTTCTATTCCCTGAGTGCAACAGTTCTTTGGCAAGCATGGTATTTTCATTGTGACATTTTTATCTCTAGAATGAAGAAAGCCAGTATTCTGGTAGTTCAGGAATAACAGAGATGACTACAGGTACATTTTTTGTTTTATTATCAAAGATTGCCGCTTTTAGAACTGGCTTTACATTAAAAAGCTTCATTCCTTATGTGCAAGCTTTATGAAAAATAAAAGAGGAACAAATGTAAATATGGATTACATAAAAAATAATGTATGGGTTATCATTAAAGTGCCTGAGATACATATTGAGCTACGAGTAAATGTTGCAGACGTATTAATTCTACTGGTGATGATTGAAGAGTTCTGCCTTCTTGAATACCAACTATGTGCAGTGGGGAAGTGGTATCTTGGCCACCCACAAAGAGTGCCTGTTCTTCCTTAGAGCCTATCAGAAGTCAACACTGCAGTGTCTTTAAAGTAAAAATGCTGTGGGTGGTATTCCAAATTCACAGATGCCTTTAGAATATCAGTCTCTGGGTTTCAGCCTTTGCACACTGGACAAGTACAGCAAAATACATGGACTCGGAAGAGAAGATTTCTTAGTGAACTAAATACGAGATGGTGACTTTCATTGTCAATATGGAACTGTCACTTTTTCAAATAGGTCAATATTAGAATGCTTCTATCATTCTTATGGCTGAATAAAGCAGTGATATAAAAGCTTTGAGGATCTCTTTAAGTAAAGACCTCTGTTTTCTTTTAAACAAATGTCTTTGCAGTCCTTTCTGCTTGTGAAAATGAGATACCTTTGTGAATTGTACTTTGGAACAGACTTATTTCAGCATTTATAATGACCCATTTTTTCCCTACTGGGGACTAAAGCAGCTTACAAAACCCCCAGAAAATATAATGTAAACAAACAAATAAATAACAAACCAAAATACAACACAAATGTCCAGGATGGTCCTAGGTCCTCTGAGCAGCTGTCTCATAGCCAGGCCCTTTAGGTCTTGGTTCATGGCTGCCCAAATTGGAAGGGAAACAAACTTAACTTTGATGCCATGCAGCTGGCAGAGGTATCCCCAAACTTCCTGTCATTACTAACTATGCATTTTATAGATTGCATTAATCTTTCACATTGTTAATCCCTTATGTATCTTTTGTCGTGGGGGCAGATGTCAAAGAATGCCCAGCAGTAGAAGAGGAGCAGACAGTCATTTTAACATTGGTGGAAATCGCAGCTGATTCACAAGATTGCAGTGGTGCATCTGCTTCTCTACAGCAAGCTTCTGAGGAGCCGCTTCCAGCACCAGTATTTTTCACATCAGATAGTATGGAATTGGTGGAATTGACGAGAGAGGATAGGTAAATATTAAGCATCATGAACTGATATTTATCATTTTGAATCAGGTTTCTTTATTTTTGGAGATAGTAGGGCAGCTTTGTGCAGGGGCTTGAGGTTGTTGCTTATCTCATTCCAGTTCAACTCTGGAAGCCAGAGTAACAAGTAAAGAGGGAAGGCAGTCTGCACTCTGGTTCTAAGCCTTCTCTGTAATTTTGCTATACATACAACTTATTTATTTAGAAAATCGGTATGCTGCTTTTCCAGAGTCCTGCTCAAGGTGGCTCACAAGATTAAAACAAAACAAAATAATAAAAGCCATAAAGACATTAAATTATCAATAGTAAAACCATAGCACCACAGGTCTTCCGTAAATGTGACATCTCTGTACATTCCAATCCATTCAAAGTCAAGCCTGTCTGTGTACATTTGAAAAACCATTCTAAGGGATAATGTGGTAGAGGTGATTTTGACTTGCAGAAGTTTTAAGGAGGGCACTCCGTATGGCTATCTGAAGAAGGATATTTTTTCTCACTACAAACATACAAGCAGATTATGGTAAAGAGGACTGTATGGCTAGCCAGGGACTGTTGCAGTACTTTGTGAGCCTTTCCTTGAAATACAAAATAACATTGTGTAAGCTCAAGTCCTGAGGAAATTTTCAGTAGCCTTTATCGGTCACTTTTGAATGAAGTCCCATTGACCTCATTGGAACTTTTTCTGAATGGTAGTGACAAGTGTTTCAGCATTAAATCTCTTTTAAATGTTTTTGTTAACAAAGAGTTTTACCCTTCCTTAAACTCTAAATATCAGTAATTTCACAAATTAACATGACAACATTATACAGCAGTGGATCCATAAAAGCTTCAACTGAAGAAAATACAGTCTCCGTGGCCAACATAACTGAAATAGGCGAACTTCAGACTACCTCAGCAGAGAAACCAGCTGATGGTGGTTCAACTTTGAAAGAACGGAAGAGACATGCTCTGGATCTTGAGGGAAGTGGCGGTCCTCCTAAGAAGAAAAAAAATTCATCAGGGGAAAGCTTGAAACGCTCAAATAAGGTCAGCAGTGAATTCAGGAATTCACAACATTTTGGTATTTGTTTAGACATAGATATTGGAGCTAACCTGAGTGAGGATAAGCTGGGTTGCAGCTGACAGAAGGGCAGGAAAGTGACTCTGATTTGTAAGAGTGCTCTTCATTAATGACAGCAACTGATACAGGCCTATTTCAAACTGCCCTGTAACCTGGTGAACTATCGAGTAGGCCTGCATCATATCTGCTGTTGAAAATGACATATTCCATATGTTAACAGTGTCCTAATAGTGGGTATATGGTGTTACAGCCCTTGACAACTTAAGATTTACATAGTAGAGAATTTATTTCAGAGAATTTTTTTTTTTTTTATCAAGGAATTGAGTCTTACGATTTCTGATGAAATTCCAGTATAAGATGAAGCTATCCACCACAAATCAGAAAGCTTATTAGAAAGTTTAAACTGCATCCTATTCTTTGAATGCTGATCATATTAAGAAGAAGTTATTTCAGTGGGCTTTTAACACATACTTGTAAAAACAAAATGGTGTACTTATTTTTTATATTTTTTCTATACAGGCAGTCTCACTTAAATCCATCTCCATAGCAAACAAAACTGCTGGTAGGTGACTGTTACATTTGTTTTCATACATAAACACATGTGAGATTTTTATTTTGGGGGGGGTACATCTTTGTCAGTATGGGCCAGGATCAATCTGGGGAACTCCCGGGTCTCTTAACAGGGGGGTTGTGCTAATCCAGTAGATTTATGGACTTTTTTCTTTGAACAGCAAACTCCTACATGTCATATCTCAGACTTCTTTTGCAATCCTATGAGTTTCAGAACTAGATTGTCATGTGCTATGGCAAACTACTGTTAAGAAGCATCACTTGGGCTCAACAAATTGGCTTCACAGCTTTTTGTTACTGTGGTGTCTGGTGAAGTGAACTTTGACTCATGAGAGTTTATACCCTGGAAAATTTTTGTTGGTCTTCAAGGTGCCACTGGGCTCTGATTTTATTTTACTGCTACAAGATGCTCTTATGAGTGAGGAGAGATGGAATGTGTATTATGTGTAGTATGCCAGCAGGAGACAAACTTAAAATGAGAAGCAGTCTAACATATATACAAATGTATGGTAATGAAATAGAAGTAGAATTAAAATATGTTTTACAATAATATCTTGAATACAAATGGGTTCTTAATACGGGATATATAATAGACTTTCCTTCACACCTTGATATATTTTTATCTGTTAAAGGTTCTAATGAATATGTAGAAGTGGTGAAAATATGTAATGATGAATACGTAGTAATGATGTAGTCAAATAGATTATGAAGTTTGAAACTTAAACTTAAAATGTTGAATACAATCGTATCCCAATAGAAGTACAATTATCTATTGTATATTATAGATAATACCTTGAAAATTATAACAAAAGGGATATAAGGGGAAATATTTTCTTATATATTTTATATTACATGCTTGTCCTCAACAAACACAATTATGTTGTATGACCCTGTTTTTCTCTCCCTACCCCATCTGTCTTCCTAAATAAATAAATAGATTCAGAAGATGCTCTTATGGGGAGATGAGTGAAACCGCTTGCCTTGTTGCAGATAGACCTAGTAACGACAGATTCTCCATTTCTACTGGCTAATAATATTTTTCTGTTTTAATAGGAAAAAGCTCAGAAAAATTGAACATTTTGAAGAAGAAGCAAAACTCAACTACCTCTAGATCAGTACCCGAACCTACAGAGTCACACATGATGGAAGAAAAAGAGAAACCTCAGTCTTCTCTGCTGCTTGGTGTACCACATGATACAGATGAGCAGGTGCCACGAACATTGTATTCAGGAAAAGCAGAAATCAGTGAAGGACAAAGAAGCTTTACTGACAATTACAAACCTGTACGATCAGGACAAACTGGAAGCACAGCGGTCTTTCCAAAAATACCATCATCCAGGTATCCATTTTGCAGCTCTTTTTAACATAGTAGACCCTGCCTCACAGTTACCATTGTAGTAATAAAGACCACTGTTCCTAAATTAAGCACATAACATCCATTGTTGTATATTTCTGGAAACAATCACATTGCAGCTTTGTATCTGAATCACTCTCTCCTGATGACCAATTCCAAAGTTTCAGTGATGGAAGCATTTGAAAGAGAGGTCAGGGTATGTCACACAGAATGTACTGATCTCTGGAGTTTTGTGTGTTCCATATGTTGGGCTCTGTCTTCTCTTTCCAGGGTATTGATGACTTGTGGCTTGCATAATTTTAATCCACTGTCTACAATGGATTAGAATCATGCTTTGAGTAATTTAGGAAATACCCTGGGGGGGGGGACAGTTAAGAGATGTTGCTTTCCTTACCTGCACTTCTTCTAGAATACTTAACTAGGCAGTTTGTAAGTGCAGTTTTGTTGGTAGAGTCATTGGCTCAGTTAAGTCATAATGCAAAATTGTGACTTATTTAGCTGTGGTTAGCAAATTCTGGCTTCAGTGCTGATGCACTTTCTTCTGCCTCCCTTGCCAGAGACCTGGTTGCTATCCCAGACTTCCTTGCCTTCTGATGCATCAACCAAGGTTTCTTACCATTCGCCACTGGCCATGTGAGGAAAAGGAAGCTTCCCTGGATAAGCTTCAGCCATTCTCAGAATGGCAATCTGCCACCAAGTTAAGGCCTCCTTGCTTAGCCTCTTGCTTGACTATCTTAGTGTACCACCCCCACACAAATATGACCACATTTACCTAGTGTCCTATCTCTGCTCCATGCCATATCTGATGCTTGCAACAAATATCCTTTCCTCCCAAACCTTCAGTCTTTTCAAACTTTTGACTTCCTTTCAGCTATGAACCTAGAGTGTTTCCAGAAACAATAAAAAAACCAACAAAGCCCTGGCAGAGCCTGCATGCAGATGAAATGAGGGTGGAGTGTTGGTGGGAAAGCCAACCAGGATTAAGCCAGAATACGTTTGTAGGCAACATGGAGCCATAGTTGCCTGTTTATTGTTAACTGTGCCATCGATTGTTTTAGTGCTTTTACTGTTCTGTAGTATATTACATGTTGTAAGCTGCCCTGAGCCCACGGATGGATAGGGCGGGGTATAAATTGAATGAATGAACAAATGAACTGTGATTAGTAAGCGAGCTTCATGTCTTGGCTTCATATCCCAGTCTGAGGTACCCTACTAACCATAGTTAGTGTGGTGGCATGGGTTTGAATAGTCAGTTAATTATGGTTCGTTTAATTAAACCTTGGTCCCAGTCACACGGGCAGGAAACTGCAGGGGGGAAACGTGGCTGTTAGCCCCAGGGCTAAAAACCACGCGGTTGCTCGAGCAGACCTACCTATCGAGGTCCCGTGGAGGTCCTGTGGTAGGGGGGAGGTGCCGATCACTCCACAGTCCTGCGGCCCGGCAAAGAAGTGGGGCGCAGGGCAAACGGGTTGTTTTGTTTTTTTTAAACGCAATTGTGCGCATGCTCCCTTGGGTGCGTGTGTGCATCCGTGGAGACTTTGAAAAAAACAAAACCTTTTTCCGAGGGGACATGGGCAGGCGCCGGAACTACCTCTGGAAATGCGATCAGACGCCCGCCCTTGCCCCGCGGTTTCAGGAAACTAGTACCTCCGTTTTTTACTGCGCGTCTTCGGCGGGAAGCCTCGGTTGCGCCACGGAAGCCTGACGCTTCCCAGATGTGCCGGTGAGATCGCGCCCGGAAACTCCGCCTATCTTCCGTCCCTCTAGCGTGGCTAATGCTCCGTGTGACCGGGGCCAGAGGCTTTCTGTTATGTCTGAACCAACTCACTCACCCTTTTGAGATATATCTAAGGATCAAAAAGCTGCACTTCTGAACCCCCTATGTATGTGCATAGATATGCCAGTCCTGCACTGATTCCCATGTCTCTAGCCTATACCATTCCTACCACTAAATCAACTTGATTTTTTATTTAAAAATGCTATTTTAAAGACTCTATTTCCACACTTCTCATTAAGTACTGCTGTGCTAAATTCATAGATAGAAAACCTTTTTGCCAGCAATCCTAAAAGTGTGTGTAGGTAATTTGCTCTTCTGTCTCACTTCCTTGGGACGTGGGATGCTATATTGTCCTTTGGACTTGACAGTGCATATTAAGTTTATGTTTAGGGGGGGGGAAACTGTAGTATTTGATTTTGGTCCACAGGTTGAACCTCCATATTCTGGGATTTCCATAAATTAGTCTTTCAGATCATGCATTCTCATCTGCTGGTGTTCATGCAGAAATGTACAGTTCATGCAAATATAGCCGCATTCACTCATTCATTCTGCTTCATTCCAGTCTGCCTTATCCTGTTCTGTCATTGAAATGTTCTGCAGGAAAGAGAGACAACAATTCCATTCCAAGTTGTAGGATAGTTTCCTTCATCTGATATTCTTAAAGTGAATTATTCCACTGTAGGAGCCTTGAATTAGCTGGTCCCATATTCCATAGCAGAATATTAATCCAGTCCTGGGAGAAATGTATGTGGTGTTAAAAATAAATAAACTCAGATTAAGTCTATTTCAGGAGGTCTTTAATATAAAACATTTTTAGTACTATAGTGACAGTATAAATCACCTTGAAATGTTTGTGTTAATGTTGATTGTCTTGTATAGGCCATATCAAAGATCTTTGGGATTTTTACCTTTAATCTGCAAGACTAATACTGAAGAAGTAACTACTAAAGGGAACAAACAGAGTTTGAAGAAGTCTTGCACAGATGTTTCCAAAAGCACTCTTGAACGTCCGACTTCGTCCTCAAGGAACAAAAAGGAAGATATTCAAGGGGACAGTTCCTTTCCTTCAACTGTCTCGGCATCCTCCAAATGTGAGAATGTAAGCTCTTCCACTATTCAGGTACGTGTGATCACTAAAAGGGCACATCTGTTGTGATGTTTATGGGATGGTGTTTCTGATGTGTTTGGGCCATAACAATGTTTTATACTTAGGTAAGAGTTGGTTTCGAAATTAGGACTATAAAATCTTGAGATAAATTATGCTGTGATACATTTTTGTTTAACCTGTTTATCAAAAAAGTGGAGATTAGTTCTCTGTAGTCTTCTTGGACATTTGGTTTCTTGATTCTACTAGAGTTATTAATTAATATACAGTGTATTACAGTATTCATATATGATAAGGTACAGTTGTTTACCTATGTGCACTTGCTGATTTCTGAAGCAAACAAGATGCAAAAACAAGCTGAAGTCTTGTGGCATTTTAAAGACTAACCATATTTTATTACAACTTAAGCTTTTGTGGGCTCAACGCACTTCTTCAGATGCTTTGAGTGGATCCGCATCTGTAGAGATGGGCTGTAATCCATGAAAGATTAGGCTGGGATGAAATTGAGAATTTTTAAGATGCCACAAGGCTCCTGTTTGTTTTTGCTGCAACACACTCTGGAGTTAAAACCTGGTATGAATTTGTTCGGCATATACATAAAAAGATTTCAGACCTGCAGACATAATCTGTTTTCTTTTGTTGTAGGTTTGCTCTGAGCTATGTGAGAATGAAAGTTCTTCTAAGGAGCAGGGAAAAGATGAAGAACCAACTATGATTTCAGAATATTTCTTTAGAGATATTTTTATGGAGGTGGATGATTCAGAATAATTTAGAAATTTAGGAGACGTCTCTGGAATCCAAGAATGCATCATAGTAGCTATGTAATGTTTTCACAAGTTCTCAATTAGCCCTGGAACTCTAAATGGCATATAGAGCACTGTTGAAGCTGCAGCAGATGGTTTTGTATTACAAATGGCCTATTGCTTTTGGAACAATTAAAAAAATGAAACAGTTAAATTGAAAAGTGCACATGATCAGGATATCAAATAATCTGTGTGCATCAAATGCATAGTTACTAACTACATGGCTATGCTAAAGAAATGTAATGAAGATGATCTATATGACTTCTTTCATGTAATACTGAAGTTTGTCGGGCTGGTTGTAAATTACCTATACTTCTTTTTGTGAAGTAAACCTTTAAAAGGAGGGGAATATACGTGTAGTCATATTTATCTCTGTAAATAAGGAAGTTCTGAACATTTCAGTACTACATAAAATATTTTTATTGCAAGCTTATTTTTATAACTAATGCACATGTGAATTGGTACAAAAAGCTATTAAGTTTAGGTCCTTTTAAATGTACAGAAAGATAAATGTGAAAGTTTTATTTATTAAATTTGAATGTACCAAAAGATAACTCACCCAAGTTAATTCTGTGTGTCCTGGAGATAAAAGGGAAATTTATCATTAATCTAAACATTAAAATCTAAATCTAAAAGTGTAATGAGTGGACAATGTGTTGCGATATTCTTTAAAAACTATGCATATAACATCTCTGACCTAGAAAAGTTTCATGCTAAAATCAGGAGTGACAGATTAAGATTAGCCCCTCTAGAATAAAAAGATAATATGAGAATAATTGATTTCTAAAGTGAGTGGGTTTGCAGAGTTTTTCCCATTTGTACTCTGTTTAGATGTTGGTCAAGTATTTCTTTGTGTTACACCCCAGGTAGTTTTGTCGGAAAACACACCCTCAGTTTGTCGATTTTGGAAAACCTGTCCAGTTGCATGGTAAAATCTGAAAAATTTATAAGAGAACTTTTTCTCTGCATTCTTCTTCAGCTAATGATTTGATTCTAAATTCTGGTTCTCCTAATATTACTCAGTAGAGATAATATACAAATTTTCAGCAAATGTGTATTAATGTATGCAGTTTCTATGAAGTAGCCTTCTAATTGCAACTATTATTCAGTAGCACACACCATGTCCATATAATTAAGGCACTGCTTCTGTTTTCCAGGTTTGTTTTAGGATTATACATACACACTATTTACTAAATTTACTAAATTGGATATTCAGATAATTTCTGTAATATTCTTGTTACCTCCTGCAAAGGCAGAATGCCAAATAGTAACTAATCAATTATTATCATTATCAGAATAGTAAATTTGACAGACTGTTTTGAGAACTGATTTTTGCTTTACATTTCATAGTATCAGAAGAAGTTCCAAACAGAGTATAAATCACCCATAATGACTCTGAATCTCATAACAAATGCAGTGAGCCCAGAGAAGCATTTTTCAATGGTACAAAATGAGGGGGGGGAATCAGTTCCAGCACGGAGAAGTGTATTTCGTGCTTTTTATGTATGGAAAAAGTGTTGTATAATGTACACCAAGAGTCTACAAAAATGATAAAAAATTAAATTCCTGGAGTAATTTAAACAGCAGTGCAAAACAAGTGAATTTTTTCAGGAATCAGATAAGAGATAAACTTTGGTATAAGGTGCCTTATCTTTTCTTACTCAATGGAAAGGCCAAGAAGTCCTGTTAATTTTCACTGTAAAACTATGTTGTCTTTGGGATAATTAATTTCAACAAAGAGGATAATGTATGTTTCTTCTGGTATGGATAGTGTACAATTTAATGGCAGGAAGAAAACTGAGCAGTATCCTTGTTTAAGGCACAGTACATTTCATTTCTGTTTAAATGTGGTAAGAGATTGCTTTCCTGAAGTTTGACACTTTTTTCCAACTGTTCATGCATAACCTTTCTGTTTCAAAGAAAGCAGTCATGTTATATATGTAAACTATGTGAATAAATAATTTTATATCACTTTCTTGTTAAGTTTTTCATTAACAGCCTAATGTAATCAGATTCCTACAACTGATAAGGATTGGTTAATATTTCTGCAATAATTTTTTTTGATTTGCTAGACTTTGCCATCAGTGGAATTTGTGAAACTTCATTTCCCATTTTTCTGATTTGATAACTATTGTACAAGGTTGGCCAGCTAAGTGCTCATCAGGTTGTGCAGGGGAAGGATGGGTGAAATACCTACCTTTCTCTGCAGAGGCTGCTTGCTCAAATCAGGACAGTAGCTGTAGGAGTCTGTTCTGCCTATTGCAGAGGTGAGTGCTAGAAGGCAGAGAAGGAAGCAAGGGGCATTCAGACGTCCCACAGTGGGAGCCTGCTTGGGTCTGACCATGAGTGTTCCTAAGGGCTAAACTAGAAGTGATGGCATCCTTGTGGCCACCATAAGGATGCTGCTGCCATTTTAAACTCAATTTAAAATGCCACAGGGGCCCAATCCTGATCCGGCCCATAGTGTGGTGGGCTGACAGCCATATCCCCCCCACCGGCAGTTCTTTTGCCCTTGAAAAGGCATGGGGAGGCACAAGAGTGCTGCGCTGTAGGCCTAGTCAGGATTGGACCCTCGTAGCATTTTAAGGGTTCTTTTTTTTATGTTCAAAGTAAGAAAAAGAGCAAGGACGTAGTAGGCCCATTGCAGGGACAGGAAAGTGAAACTGTAACAGGCGATGAAGAGAGGGCAGAACTGCTCAATCCCTACTTTTCCTCAGTCTTCTCTCATGAAGGAAATGGTGCTCAACATGGCAAAAACAGAACACATGAGAGAAGGGAGTTGCAGCCTAGGATCGGCAGAGGGGTTGTACACAACACAGAGTTTCTTTAAATGAAACAAAGTCCTTGGGGCCAGATGAACTGCATCCAAGGATACTAGAAGAACTCACAGATGTAATTTCTGAGCATTATTTTTGAGAATTCTTGGAGAAAAGGTGAGATGCCAGAAGATTGGAAGTGGGCAAATGTTGTCCCCATCTTGAAGAAGAGGAAAGAGGAGGATCCAGGTAACTACCAACCTGTCAGCTTGACGTCTATACCTGGAAAAGTTTTAGAACAAATCATCAAACAGTCCTTGAGCATTTAGAAAGGATGGCTGTGATTACTAAGAGTCAGCATGGGTTTCTCAAGAACAAGTCATGTCAGACTAACCTTATTTCGATTTTTTTTTGGAAAAAATTACCTTGCTGGATCAGGGGAATGCTGTAAACACAGTTTATCTTGATTCCAGTAAGGCTTTTGATAAGGTTTCACATAATATTCTTGTTGATAAATCGGTAAAATGTGGTTTGGATCCTATTACTGTTAGGTGGATCTGTAATTGGTTGACAGATCGCACCCAAAGAGTGCTTGTTAATGGTTCCTCATCCTCTGGGAGAGGAGTGACAAGTGGAATGCCTCAAGGATCTATCATGGGACCTGTTTTGTTCAACATCTTCATCAATGATTTGGATGAAGGGATAGAGGGAATGCTTATTAAATTTGCAGATGATATTAAATTGGGAGGGGTAGCAAATACGGTAGAAGACAAAGTCAGGATACAGGATGATCTTGATGGGCTAGAAAACTAGGCTAAAACAAATTTATTTGACTTGTATCCCGCCCTCCCTGCTAAGGCAAGCTCAGGGCAGCTTACATAAAACATTTTAGAACATTAAAACACAAAATTAGATAAAACCATAATGATACAATTATAAGCCAACAGCGTAAAGTGCTAGTGCTATTCATGGCCGATGGCGGGCAGTAGCACCGTCTAACAACGTTAATGTTGGTAATTTGAATCTGACATTGATATGTCAATGATTATGTTAGTTTGGGGCCAGGGTCTTGATGTATTAGGGTGGCTCTCTACTCAAAGGCCTGGCTCCGTCTTGCAGACCCTGCGGAACCTTTAAGGGTCCTGCAGGGCCATGATGTCATCCAGGAGCTCATTCCACCAGTGCGGGGCCGCTACTGAAAAGGCCCTGGCCCTTGTCACAGCCAGCCTGGCTTCTCTAGGACCCAGGAGGGCCCGACGATTTTGGGACCCTGATCGTAGTGCTCTTTGGGGAACATGTGGGGAAAGGCGGTCCCTTAGGTATGTATGTAGGCCCCTTATCATATAGGGCTTTAAAGGTAAGAACCAGCACCTTGAACCGAATTCAGTATGCTATAGGCAGCCAGTGCAGTGCTTTTAGTGCAGGCTGGATGTGCAGTCTTCCAGAGCCAGTTTGGTGTAGTGGTTAAGTGCGCGGACTCCAATCTGGGAGGACCGGGTTTGATTCCCCTTTCCTCCACTTGCACCTGGCTGGATGAACTTGGGCAAGCCGTAGCTCTGATAAGAGCTGTCCTTGAAAAAGAGCAGTTTCTGTCAGAGCTCTCTCAGCCCCGCCTACCTCACAGGGTGTCTGTTGTGGGGAGGGGAAGGGACAGGAGTTTGTAAGCCACTCTGAGACGCCTTTGGGTAGTGAAGGGCGGGGTATAAATCCAATCTCTTCTTCTGCACCAGCTGCAGCTTCTGGATTTGGGACAAGGGCAGCCCCATGTATAGAGCATTGCAGTAATCCAATCTCGAGGTGACCATTGCATGGATCACTGTTGCCAGGTCATTGTGTTCGAGGAAGGGAACCGCCTGATCAGCTGAAGATGGTAAAAGGCTGACCACAGTGGCTGCTTGAGCACTGCTCCTTGAGGCACTCCGCAAACTAGCGGATGCCTTTGGGACAGCTGTTTCCCTAGTGCCACCCTTTGTCCCTGACCCTGGAGAAACGAGGAGAGCCATTGCAAGGCAGACCCCTGAATCCCTGTGTCAGCAAGGCAGTGGGTCAGTAGTTGATAGTCGACGGTATCAAACGCTGCCGACAGGTCTAACAACAGCAACACTGCCGAACCGTCCCAATCCAGATGCCTCTGGAGGTCATTCATGCGGGCGACCAGTACCGTCTCTGTCCCGTGGCCTGGTTGGAAGCCAGACTGGAAGGGGTCTAATGCAGAGGTGTCATCCAAAAAACCCTGCAACTGAATTGCCACCACCCTCTCAGTTAATTTGCCCAAGTAGGACAGATGGGAGACCAGCTGATAATTAGTCAATTCGGCCAGGTCCAAGAATGTTATTTTAGGAAAGGGTGGACTACTGCCTCCTTTAGTGCCCCAGGGATCAGTCCCTCAGAGAAGGACTTGTTGATGATCTCCCTTAGGGAACCTCATAGCCCGTTGCAGCCAGCTTCAATCAGCCATGATGGGCACAGATCAAGGCTGCAAGCGGGTGGACAGTTGAGAGTAGTTTGTTGACCTCCTCTAGGCTGAGTGGACTGGGGATAAATGTAAAAGTTCTGCATTTAGGTAGGAAAAATCAAATGCATAACTATAG